TCCTCATCAACACTTGTTATTTCTTGTCTTACTGATACTAGCCAATCTGAAAAGTGTGAAATGATAACTCATTGTGGTTTTGATTTGCATTTCCCTGATGATGAATAATATTGAGCATCTTTTCATGTACCTGTTTGCCATCTGTACATCTTCTTTGGAAAGGTCTCTATTCAGGTCCTCTGATTTGGAACATTTGTTTGTTTGGTGTTGGTTGTATGAGCTCTTTATATATTTTGGATATCAACCCCCTTTTGAAGATATCATTTGCAAATATCTTCTGTCATTCAATAGGTTGCCCTTTTGGTTTGTTGTTTTCTTTATTATACAAAAGCTTTAGTTTAACGTAGTCCCAATAATTTACTTTTGCTTTTGTTGCCCTTGCCTGAGGAGACAGATTCTGCCACCCACCTCCCCCCAAAAAATATTGCTAAGACTGATATACAGTAGTTTACTGCTTAGGTTTTCTTTTAGCATTATATGGTTTCATATCTTATGTTTAGGTCTTTAATCCATTTTGAGTTTATTTTTGTATCGGTGTAAGAAAGTCCAGTGTCACTTTTTTTTTTGTATATAGCTTTCTAGTTTTCCTGGCACCATTTATTAAAGAGACCCTCTTTTCCCCATTGTGTATTCTTTCCTCTTTTGTCATGGATTAGTTGGCCACATACGTGCGGGTTTATTTATGGCCTCTATGTTCTGTTCTGTTGATCTATGTGTCTATTTTTGTGCCTGTATCATTACTGTTTGGATTAATATAGCTTTGTAGAATGGCTTGAAATTTGAATTGTGGTACCTCCAGGTTTGTTTTTCTTTCTCCAGGTTTGTTTTGCCTCAGAGATTTTTTGTGGTTCCATTTGCATTTAAGGATTATTTGTTTTAGTTCTGGGAAAAATGCTCTTGGTATTTTGATAGGGATTGTATTGACTCTGTAGGTTACTTTGGGTAATATAATTTTAACAATATTAGTTTTTGCAATCCATGATCATGGTATATCTTTCCATTTATTTGTGTCATGCTTAATTTCTTTTATCACTGTTGTGTAGTTTTCAGAGTACAGATATTTTACCTCCATGGTTAAAAGATTTTTTATTCATGTGAAAGAGGCTTTGATTTATATCATGAAGTCTAATGAGAGACTGAAAGCTATTTGTATGCAGATACAATGTCTTGGGAATTTATGTATACTTTATAGTGTGTAATATTGCATACATAGTAGGACTATAATAATGCTTTTATTTGGAAAAAATTGAATGTTGTTCTGAAGTAGTAATGAGAACTAATAAATATTAAGTACATTGTTGGACATATGGGCACCAGCACTGTTCTAGATACAAATCAATGTATTTAAGCTTATGGTGGTGTCACTTATTACCCCTTCTAGAGAGAGCAGCCAAGAGAGGCTAAATAACTTGTTCAAGGTCACACCGCTAGTAAGTGTTGAGTCAGGATCTGAACCCCGTCAGATTGTCTCCAGAACTAGTATTTTTATTTTCAACACTAAATGACTTACTTTTTATTTTTTTTAACAGAAAATTACAATGATCCATATTTAACAGAAGAACAGATTCCTTCTGAAGTTAATGTTGAAAGCTCATTCCAGGACACTGTCTTGGCCTTTTCACTGTTAAAATGTTCTTTGGTGCTTATTTGAAACAGATGCAAACATTTAAAATATCCATTCACATTGTGTTTCCCTGTGATTTGCTGGTATATGTCAGGTTGCCTCCAGGAGACCCATTTCTAAATGACTGTCTGATTTCATTCGCCTTACTACTCCTTTACAGACCTGCAGCTTCATGAATCTGTTAAAGCATGGTTGATCAGAGGTTTATTAATGTCTTTTGCCAATATTCTATCACTTTCTGTTGTGGAAAGCTCCTAGGACAGCCAGTAGAAGAAGCTGGATGTGTTTTTCAAAGCACAGTTTTTTCAACCAAGCCTTTTGGCAAGACATGGTGGCAGACTAATGGTAGTGTAAAGTTTATTCCCACATACTTTTAATTCCGGGAGTTATTAGTTGGGAGTTCAAAGCTATTACCTTTCAAATGATTTTCTTTCTTCTATTGTTGTTCTTCAGTAAACTTTATGATTAAGTTGGCTTTCTATTTTCACAAATTTTGCTTTTGTGAGCAAACTGCTTATTGCTTGCTTGACTCTTTTTTTTAATTTTTAAAGTTTATTTATTTATTTTGAGAGAGAGAGAGAGAGAGAGAGAGAGAGAATCCCAAGCAGGCTCTGTTACAGCATGAAGCCTGACTCGGGGCTCAAACTCAGGAATCCAAATCAAGAGTGAAATGCTTAACCAACTGAGGCACCCTGGCACCCTGCTTGCTCAATTCTTTCAATTGTTGAAAATGCATATAGTTTATAATTTTGCATGCAAAGTGGCAGGAGCAAAAAATGTCACTATGAGTCCTTAGTGTGGGGCAGTCCCTATATCTTGTCTTTAAGGATCAATGAATACTATCATTTTAATGTAGTTTCTTTCTTTCTGTGTTAACAAGAATGATTTGGCGTTTTCAGTCAGTGAGTGTTTTGGTGAGTTAAAGTTTCTGGTTAATAAAAATATGACATTATGGATTTATAGAATCAAAAAATAATGAAAATATACTTTGTACAGGGAGAACATACATTTTAATTATTCTGAAGGTCTCTCAGAATCATACTTTATATCAAAGTTTATTTCATGTTTATCATTTAAAATCACATTTGGAAAGTGAGAAGCAATTCAAGAAAATATGTTTGGACTCTTCTTGGATTTATTGAAATTATATTTGTGAGTAATTTGAGCTAAGATTGAAGAATATTCTCTCTCACCATGAAGTTCCAGGCTACTTTCATCCCAAAGCTCTCATTTGTAGAGAAAAGCAGTGAAAATCTCCTTCTTATAAAAAAATCCTTCTGATATTTTCACACCTGTATTCCTTAAATGGTACCCATACCATTTTATTCCATAGCATCTTTTGTGTATTCCTTTTATCACTGTACTTGTACATTATCTGGAAATTTCCCATTTCCATATTCCTCAAGTGCCGAGGCTTACTTCTCTGTGTACCCTCCCTTCTGACCCTATGATAGGGCCGGCAAATCTTCAGCATTCCAATATGTCTTGTGATATGTTGAAGACAGAAAGTACAATATTTGTGTAATTTGGGTGCTCTTGAAAGAGTTTAAGGTGATGTTGCTTATTTGTGGACTTTAGTTTTCAGCATAAATGTAAATAATGTGACACCTTTGGAGTTCTGGTGATGCTCATTTATTTTTGGTTTTATGTTGATAAGCATTGATCTGAGGATTTTTTGTTAGTCTGGCTCATTGATACAGTATGGGGTAGCATTTCATTTTTTTAGGATACTTATGACCTTGTTAAATAGCAGTCCAAAAATCATGTGGCTTGTTTTGATTTTAACCAAAGTTACAGCTGCCTAGCTGTAAAGCAGTCAGTTTCTCTTATTATGACTAGTTCTTCAACTTGTACTGTTTTAAATTGCCTGCAATTAGCATATTTCAACCTTATTTTTAGGTTTAAATTGCAGTGTGAGAGTGTACTCTCCTCTTAGCTAATTAGTGCTATCAAGGAACAGTAGGTTACCTCATTAGTACCATGTGCATTTAATTAAAGAAGAGAAAATTGGAGTTAACCTCATAGTTAATATTTTCACAGAGTGCTACAATGCCAACACCTTCAATTGGAGTCACACCCCTGTGTATCTAATTATGCACTGGTGCCAAATAAGGTTAGCAAGGGTACTACAAGGCTGTTGACAAAATAATTTAGATGAAAATGTGTTTGTTGGATTCTGACAGTAAAATGTAACTTGAACATTTTTTTTTTCTGTAGTTCTCGTCTGCCAGCTTCAGGTAACATACTTCTTCACAGGAAACGAAAGGCAAGGAGTATTTTGGAAGCCGTATTTCCTGTTTGAATTAATGTTGCTCTTATCTTGCAGAAAATGGCATGTAGCCATGTAAAGCATATACAATCCGATTCTTAAACAGAGACCCTGAACTTCAGAGATGTATTTGAAAAGAATTATTTATAAGATGTAATATTTACATGCATCAAACCACTACAAATACTCCCTGACACCCCTACCACAGCCCTCCTTGCTTTTCTTCTTTTCTGATATAATTTCCCTTGTGTATCTTATGAATGGGGATCATCCTTTCATATCATACATGAAGTCTAAGGATGTGCTGTCACATGGTCTGTTCAAATGCAGTGTAATCCTTTTGCCCTTCAGACAAAATCTTTGAAATGTCTAATGCTACTTAGGTAAAAAATGACATTCCATGTCATTTATCAATAAATAATCACTTTGCTTTTACAGATAAAAATGCAAACTATACATTTGAGTGTATAGAGTAGTTCTCAGTACAAGTGGTACAATTCAACAGGTTTTCACAGAGATTATAGAGTTTAGTTCCTTGGTCTCGAATATATATTTAATGGCAACATTTGTGCTAATAGTAATGCATGGCCAAGGCAGTTTAGTTAAAAAGGTTCTTATGAGTATCCTCACATTTCATGACAAGACGGGATTCATGTTCATTTGTATTGTTAAAATGCAGTGCAAGTCAACAGTTAGCTTTTTCAAAAAGACATAATTAAAGTTTTAAGGATAAATACCATCCCATACTCTAAAATCACAATGTCATTTAAATTTAATATTTATAAGAATATTCATTAACATTGGCCATAATTTTAGCTTAGAAATGGGAAGTGAGGTTCCTAAATCCAGATCATGGCAGACGAATTATTTTTGGTTAGTGGTTAATTCGTTATGTTCAAATATTCAACTTTGTATCTGCCAAATTATTTTTATTTTTTAATTCTATACCATGTTTAACTGTGACACAAAGATGGAATAGTCTCATCTTCGTTCACCTACCAAGATTATAATCCAAAAATATTTTTTAATGATGATGTACATTATTAGTTTAAGCATTAAGATTGGAGGGGAAAAAAGCCAACTCCTGATTCTCTTTGTTTAATCTAGGAATTGCTTCCAGAAACAAAATTATGTGTCTGTGGCCACTCTTCTGGTGATGGGCATCCTCACAACACATTTGCAGTAAGTTACACTGGGCAATTAGATATTCAGCTACTAAGCACAAAGCCAGAGACCCAATCCCACTAAATAGATTATCTGTGATTTTCTATCAGCTCGTCTCTTTCATTGATGCAGATAATCAATAGATGATTAATGTTAAGATACCGGTGTAATTAGTTGGTTTTCTGTTACTTCTTGTATTTTCTCTTAAATTATATTTCATCATATATACACTTCACTGTTTCTATGTGTTGGTAGCGTTAAAATTTACCTGAAATATATAAAGGCATATGGTTGATTCACCACTACACCTTTCTTGAACTTTTAGGAATCATTTGATGAGATAGTGCTGATAAGCAAAAATTAAATAAAGAATCTGGATAGATACAATACATAATTACATATTTTAGGGGAAAGTTGCCATTCCTTGTCTGCAAGTTATGGTACAAATATGTTAAGGCCTTTTTTTTTAACATATTCTTTAACTACAGTATAATTTTTTCTTTAGATTATAATATGCAATAAAAATTGCTTTCATGACCCAATTCACATACCAGTTAGCCTTGGAAATGACTAACAATCCTGAAGTGGCCATTCAAGAATTTTTAAATAGGGCAACTTCATGTTTCTAGATAGCATGGATACTACCTGTATTCTTGAGGAATTTCTAAATATGTAAATCATATATTTTCATATGTAGAATTTTTGCTTGTTCCCTTAAGAATTGAAGTACTTAGTTAGTTTCCATGGTCTAGACTATTCCTAAATTGGCTCACCCAAAATTTATTTTTTAAGGCTATATACATAGTATTTCCTAACTGATAATTGATAGAACACATTATAATTAAGACTTTTATATGCACATAGTATGTTCCTGAATAAAGAAGAAACTTTTAATTTTATACCTTGTTTTTCTTTTAAGGAATATTTTTTTAGCAAAACTAGTATCAATTAATATGGAATGCTATCTTTTGTGGAAAATATTTAAACATAAAATATTTTTCAAAATGTTCAATGCAAAACAAAAAAATGGAAACAGTAACATGCTATTTTATGGAAATAGTGAATGCAGAGGATTGGTAATGAATTTTGTACATTAAAACAGGTTTTGTGATGATCTGAAATTATCTAGTTTGGGTTCTATTCAGTATAATCCTAAAGTGTTTTCCCCCCCTGAGCTTTATGGGAAATATAATATTTGAAAGAAAATACCAGAAATTAAAAAGTTGTGAGTTTTGCTGAAATTGGAAGACTAAATAAGCTAATTTTATTTTCTAGGTATTTTGTTATTTTGAAGGAAGATAAATTTAAGATAAACTTCAAAAATAATTGTGTAATTTAACTTCTTAATAAAAATTCATCCAAAAATATACTTTAAAAAACTAGTGCATTAAAAATGAAAAAGGCAGTATTTCTAATTAGTAGCACTTTTCCCTAAAATAATCCCAATGGAAAAATTGTTTTCATTAAACTGAAGACTGAGCTGACTGAACTACTAATAGTGTTTGTTCTTTATCTAAAACTACTTTTACCATTAAAAAAAATAATTCCCTATTCTGATATAAAAATAAATTTATAGCATGAGATCTTCATATTTTCACTGACATATTTTCAGAATGAAAACAGACCACAGAGAAATTAAATGACTCACCAGAGGCCATTTAACTCCTCATTTCCAAGGCTGAATATATTTACTTATTTATTTATTTTAATGTTTATTCATTTTTGGAAGAGAGAAAGCAAGAGACAGAGAGCAAGCAGGGCAGGGGCAGAGAAAGAGGGAGAGATCGCGAAGCAGGCTCCAGGGTCTGAGCTTTCATCACAGAGCCCGACCTGGGAATTGAAGTCACAAACTGCGAGATCATGACTTGAGCCAAATTCAGATGCTTAACCACCAGTTGAGCCCTCCAGGCACCCAGGCAAGGCTGAATTTATAACCCAGGCCTGTGATCATCAAGGTATCAGTTTAACAAGGATGTACCAGATTGTTTGGAGTTGCCTTGAGTGGGAATCTGAGGTTGTTCCATACGCCTGAGGCTGTGGTTAGTACCTAAGACAGAAAGAGTAGGATGAAGTAGTGAGGTCTGCTGTGGCTGGTAGGGAGAGAGGGACTATGGAAGTTCATGAACCAGGTATTTGCCATCCCTGCAGTGCACCAAACTTAATCCTTCAAATTAGTCACTGAGTGACTCTGCAAATGATGCTCCCTGAATTTCCAACACAAAGAGAACACTAAATATTAAGTAGGTACTTATTGACTACATTAGATATAAACTTTCTGCATGCTAACATGGCTACATAGTGGAATTTAAAATCAAGATGCAAATTAAGACAAGTGATATCTGTTATTCATAGTCGACAATGTCTATGTGATGAACATAGCTCTGTTTTACTAAATTTCATAAGTGCCAGTATGCCAGGGTGAAACTCAGTAAGCTGTGAACCACCATAACTAGTGGGCTAAGAGGATGAAAGGTGTAGAAAATATAGATGGGGTACTGAAAGCTAGCCACGTTCCTTTATAATCTATTTAACTAACATTTGTAACAAATTGTGAATCACTGTAATAATTCTAAAATTTTTTTTATAATTTTTTTTTAATGTTTTATTTATTTCTAGGAGAGAGAGAGAGACAGCATGAGCAGGGGAGGGTCAGAGAGAGAGGGAGTCACAGACTGAAACAGGCTCCAGGCTCTGAGCTGGCAGTCAGCAGAGAGCCCGATGCGGGGCTCGAACCCACGAACCGCAAGATCATGACCTAAGTGAAAGTTGGACGCTTAACCGACTAAGCCACCCAGGCGCCCCAATTTTTAAGAGATCATACATCCCTTTGAGTGGACTAATTTAATATCATACATAGGGACTTCTGGGTGGCTCAGTTGGTTAAGCGTCCGGCTTCAGCCCAGGTCATGATCTCACAGTACATGGGTTTGAGCCCTGAGTCAGGCTGTGTGCTGACAGCTAGCTCAGAGCCTGGAGCCTGTCTCGGATTCTGTGTCTCCCTCTCTCTCTCTGACCCTCTCCTGCTCATGCTGTCTTTCTCTCAGAAATAAATAAAACATTATTTTTTTTAAATATCATACATATTACTTGAACACATGCTTGATCAACCTTCACAAATAAAAAGCCAAACTTTTCAGGCAAATGTTCCAAATTGGCAGATTAAGTTGATTTTTACCCCACCTTCCCTTAACTTAAAAACTAAAAACCCTGTAAGTTTATTAACAAGCTGGAAGTAAAGTCCCATAAATTTCAGAGGAAAAAAATTCATTTGCAATTAAAGCCCAAATTACCTTGAAGAAATAAGTGATAATATATATTTGATAGTAAACAGATGTCAGTTCTCTCTCATACCATCCTCTTTTAGGCATTGATTCTATCAAGTTCCTAACAAAAGATGCAATAAAAATATATTTCAGAGAAATATTTTCTGGTGTTTTGGTTTGCTAGTAGTGATCAGACAGTAGCTGTCATCTGAGTATTGTGTTTCTTTATTATCACATTGTTGAATAGTCGTGATACTTTTATGTATCCACTAATCGATTATATTTATTGTGCCTCTACTAATTTATTACAATACCAGGTAATAATTATGCTCACTTATATCATCTCTACCTGAAAGTTGTAATCTTAAATTCTATCTACTTGTTGTATTTCAAAGAAATGTTTGGTCTGCATAGGTTGTATGTTTACCATTCTAACCATATAAAATCCTTATTATAACTTGAGAGAAGCATTAAATTCTGGCTTTCAAGGACAGGAGTATGAGAGCAAGAGAACTTCATTGTGAGAGATTATTTTTCAATACTTCCTTTTCACACTCCATTTTTTGTCAGTGGTATATTTTAACTTTAATCTGGAAAAATCTTCACTTATTTTACCTTTCTTTCATTTCAAACTTTAATAATAAGATAGATGCTCCCCCTACCCCTTGACATATCAAACAGCTTTACTAATGGCTAACTGTCATGATCCTGAATTTGCCTTCCTACCACACAATAGTAATCCAAGTTCACTCCCCAGTAGCTAGATTTTGTTGACACCTCATCTGTCTGAATGGCTTCATTAACACCTACCTGCAGAATCTTATTGTTAGTCTTGCCTACAGGTTTTTACACCTAAGTGAATACTACTTTACATAGGAGCCTGTTAGCTCCATGTGCTAAGGCAATTATGTTGAATGCTTAGATCTTTGTCTTTTGGGTCTTATTTTCAAGACATTTAGCATTGGGACAAATGAGTAGTTTGGTGAGCAAAACTTGTTAGACCTAGAAAAATCAAAAATGAAACTTGGCTGGCCTTGGCCCTTTTGATTTATAACCCATTCAAATTAAATTTCATTGACCACATTGAATCTCTCCCCCTACAGATCTTTATTCTGTTGCTATTGCCTCCTACTTTCATTTTGATGAGAACTGTGGATTGGAGAAAATAAGGGGAAAAGGCTAGTGACCGTTTTTAAAAAATCTCTTATTTTCTATCAAAATTCATCTCTCTTTTTAGGCTTTACATGAATTCTACCCCACAGTAAATCATGTATCCCATGGGCACTGGAATCAGCTTTCTAGATTGAATATTGGACAAATTATTTACATTTTTTAGCCTCATGCTCTCATCTGTAAACTTAGGATAATAGTAATATCTACCTTTTAGGCTGGTAATGGGGATTAAATTTTAACCTAAAAATACTTAGCTTGATGACTAACTAACACATAGAAAGTGTGCAACAGATATTTGAGTCAGTAGCCATAGTATATAGTATCAGTATACTCTTGGTTGGAATAAAGATGTAATTCTGTTTTATGTAAATTTAGATACATATTTGGTATTAACATTAAATAAGAAGCATTAGGCATTATACTTTGAATAATGAATAAAACAGATGGAAATGTTCCTTAAGGAAAGTCTTTACATTCATTAATTTAAGTTAAACACTGACTTATTCACAAAAATCAGTGTTATCCAAATGTTTTCTGATTTGTTAAATGGAAGATAGCTAAGTGGAAGTGGAAGAGAAAGAA